ACTAATGATGTGTGCTTCACTGTTCAGAAGATCTGCTTTGGGTCCAACTTTCAAATGTGAAATAGTAGAATACTCTGTCCACCTGTAGTCTCCTTTAAGATAGTGCTGTAGAAGAGAGTGGACAATTATTTTCTCCAGTTCCTCACGAGGCAGTGTGGGAGTGCAGATACCGGCCGCTCTGTTTCCCTGGGCCCTTTCCCATCCAAGAATTCATGGGTTTAAGTGGAGTGAGTTTTTCATTCAGTTCCTCTGCCTGCTTCAAGATCTTGATTAGATCTCTGCAGTACCCTGTCATATTCTTTTTTTTCAAAAGAAACGTCTTTGCAGCAGTTGGCACACATTTTGTTGCATGCCTCTGAGTTCCCCACTTCATGGAAATGTTGAGCCAGCAATACTTGGTGACATTTGCTTATATTTTGACAGTAGGAGACCATCTCATCAAGCTTCTGTTGTCCCACATCTTCCATGACCACCACAGAGCTTATTCGGAATATATCTCCAAAGCTGTAATACAAGATACTGTCTGCTCTCACTTCATCTCGACGCACAGGCTCACTCTCATCCCAGTAATTTTCCATGGATTTATTCATTGAATGATGAATAAAAAATCTCACATTTAGCTTATCAATTCCCATACTAAATGCAACTGTTGCCACTACTACCTGAAGTTCATTGGCTGACCACTTCGTGTGAGTCTTGGTTTTATCTTCTGGTTCCATATTGGCATGATAAGCCCCAGCATGAATTCCCAACTTCTGTAAAAAAGTTAATAGTAACTTGTTTAGAGTCTTTCTGAGAAAAACAATATATGATTCCTGATTGCCCTTTGTATTGGCCATTAAAAGCTTTATAATATTCTCAATAAAATCTTCTGTTTGATGGCTTTTGCTGAACCTCATAATAAAGATTTGAATGATTAAAAGAAGGTGTAAAACACTTTTAAACACACAAAATTTTCTGAGCATCCTTTAAAACATGGTTTGTTGCTTTGCAGTCAGCCCAATTAGAGATGTGTTAGGGAACTGCCACTTCAGCATGGCAAGGGCTTTATAATCAGGCCCAAAATCCTATCCCTGCTGACTGCAGCAGGGCACTTCATCCACTGCGATCCGACTGAATCTCCTTGCCTCATCGGCTTTCTCTAGTCTTCACATAAACATTTTGCTTTTTTTCAATCTTCTCTGGAGTCACATAAATTAGCTTTAACTTGGAGCTTTTATTTACCATTTCAGCATGAACCCATTTCATATGCACCTTAGAACTGGAACCATTTAACATGGTACCTGAAATTCCTAATCATTTTAAAACCATTAATTAATTGGTCTTCCATAAGAGAGATCAATGGGCAAATTACAAGTGTAAAACCATCTGCACATAATGGTGGTAACATAAGCTCTTCCCACCAGCTATAGGCATAACCAGAATTATCTCCTCTCCAGTCATTGCTACCTTAATGGTTTCAAGCTGAAGTGGCCTGAACTTCTGCAGTTTGAAGACATTTTGCAAAACATCCTTAATTTTATCAGACCATGGAAAATCTTCTTTATTCCAAGCAGCTGGTAAAGAATTGCACTCTTTCCTGGCCCCAGCATCTGAATTATCTAAACCTTGCTTTATATTCTTCGTTAAGCCTAATTTTTTCTCAAGAAGCTCCTGCTGCCTTTCCACAAGCTCTTGAATTTGAATGTTGACTGCATGCATTTCACAGACCACAGAATCCAGTTCCTCTGTTAGGGCTGAAACAGATGCCATTTCTGAAAACTGGAGATCCAAATTTCTTTCTATCTCAGTCACTCTCCAATAAAAGCTTCCCCTGGCTTATGAATTTAATGTACCTTAACTTTATTGTTTTAGAATGAGGCCAGGTGGGCAGTCAAATAGCTGAGCAGATTAAAGCACCTGCAAGCAGGCACAGGGGTGTGGAGTTCAATCTCTGAGCCTGCTGTGCCAGCCGCACCCCTGGGGCACACTGAGACAGCAATTGAGACTGGGCACCTGTAATCCCAGCTCCTGGGAGTCTGTAAACAAGTGGATCACTACAATCAAACACCCTGTAGACCCTTCCCTAAAATACAATAAATAAATAAATAAATAAATAAATAAATAAATAGGAGAGAGGACAGGATTAGGATAGTAGTCTTTCTACTTATAAAAAAGAAGCTTACTGCATACAATATGCTGTGTGATAGAAGTGTAACCTCATACATATATCTCTTATTTGCATCAGGAGGCCATACAGAATAACGGACCTGCAGCATCTTAGTGTGTATGTGCGCACTGTGTGATGTTCATACCACTAAGAGATCATTCAGGAACATGTATTTCAGGACTTGTTTCATAGTTAAACAGTGCTTGATGATATTTTGTTTTCTTGTAGCAATTTAGTAGATATTGTACTGTTTACTTGTTAAATACTCTCTCCTCTTACATTCTAAGCCCCATGTCACAATGCCAATGTGTACAATGGCGTCTTCCATACGTATTTGTTAACTAAAAGAATGAATATGTTTCCTTTTCAAATTTTGGGTGGTGGACTCACTAAATATTTATTTTTTTGAAGCAGATAGTTTATTCACTGACCAAATCATAAAAACACCATGGTAGATACCTTAGTTCATCCTTCTGATAAGCCTGTTGATCTGGTCTTCCCTGTTTCCAGCATCTCCACCTTCCACAAAATGGGTGGTCTTTTTCTTCATTTCACCTCAAGGAGATGATAACTTGATCAGCTACAGGAAGTTATTTGCCTCTTTGAAGTGTTTTCCAACAGTCTAGATCTCATGAATCAGATCCTCCATGTAGATGATGCCATATTTACCAAGAAACCGAGCAATTAATGAATTATCTCTCAAGGCAGTTCACTTCTTATTGATTTTGCCATTGCCACGCTTGTATATTAGTTCATTCACTGACTTCAGGTTTGGGTGCCCCCATGCAATGCATGGCTCCACAATTCTCAGCATGTTAATTGAAGCCTTGTTGAGCTTAATGAAGGTACCATTGAAGATCTGGCGAAGGCGAAGAAGCTGCAACACCTTGCGGACCTTTGGGCTCACACCATTGATACCCCTGATTTGGATGACAAATGCCAGTTTGGGCTCTGCAGGGACACACAGGTTGCCAGTTTTCCTTGCCATCCTAGCCATTCGGATCTCAGTTCTGTACATCTGTCTGTATTCCTTACGATAATGCCTGGCTTTTTCATAGATGAGCTTTCTCCTCACCTTGTGAAATGTCTTCTTTGCAAGAAAGTCTGAGAAACTTCATTCTCAAGTGCTTTATCTTCAATTCTTCAAGATGTCTTTGCTTTTTCTTAAGGCTTTCTGGCACAGCAGGAACCTTCTTTTTCTTTTCTTCTACACCCTCCATGGTTTCAGCCAGAAAAGAGGATATTATTATTGCTATTTTCTTTTATGTAGTTGGTACAGTGTCTCACTACATAGCTTTGGCTCATAGTGATCTTCCTGTTTACAGACTTCTGAGTGCTGGGATTATAATAGTGTACCACCATGCCCAGACTCGGTGCCCAGCTCAGTGAGCTCAGTGGTGGAGGCTGCACTGCATGTGGTGCCAGGGTTCGAACCCTGGTCCCTGTGCTTGCCTAAGCAGGTGCTTGGTCCCCTGAGCTATCTCACCAGCCCTCACTAAATATTTTGTATGAAAAGAATGACATTATCTATTGCTTAAAAAACTATATATATATATATATATATATATATATATATATATTGCATCCATGCCTTAATAACCACAATGTTCTGTTTATACATATTGTGCCATACTAAAAGGATTTTCCAGCATAGTTGCTCTATATTTATCTTTGCCAAATAACCAGCATCACATACATTTTCTCTGATTCAATTACCAAACTATCACATCTGGTCCCATGTGACTGTCTTCTGTGTCTCGGCCAGATTAGACAATACACTCGGTTTACTTTCCAGCTTCTTCCTCTTGCTGCTCAGATATATCAGCTCATACAAGGAAATGAGAGCAATGAGAAATATGACTCATTCTTGCTCATGGATATCTATCTATCTATCTATCTATCTATCTATCTATCTATCTCCCAGCAATGATAAACTAGAATTAGTGTTTACGTTGTGCTTTATACGTGTATATGAAGTGCATGTGTGGGTGTATATTTACAGATGTATATACTCTCACATCTATTCAGATCAACTAGTTCTTAGAAGCAACCAGCAAGATAGGTACATCATCACCCTTCCTTTACAGATTCAAGAACAAACAATTTAGGGAGAAAAAAGTTGCCTCAACAAATACATTGCAGCAACCACAGTCAGGCTGAGTCTCTCATACTCACCATCTGTTCTTTACATAGATTCTGAAAAGCACTTAATTTTCTTAAAGGACCAGATTTAATAGTTCTCGTGAGACAGAAATGCTATAGTAGACCTGATCATGTCTCATGCTCTTCAGCCAGGAAAATCAGCACGGCTACTTTCAGATGCATAGTTACATCAAATATTTGATTTTATAATTCTGATGAAATCTTTGTAGGTGACCCAGGCCTGCAAAATTCAGTCCTTAATGAAAAGAGATGGTCTCATTAAAGCAAAAGTGTGTCTGTTGCTCTAATCGATGGAATCAAGACTCAAATTAAAGGCACGGAGTCAGTATGCCTATCATGTCTTATTACCAGGGCCTAACACACAGTAAGCCCTAGGGGTCATCTGTTAAATTTTTGGTATCACTATTGATTTTACTGTTGAAGCATTTTCACTTGAAAAACAAATCCCTTCCTTTTGCCGATCCTCTCATTGCTCCTTTCTCAGACCTGCCAGGTGAAAAGTAAATGGTCTTTTTGGAAGACTTCTCAGTCCATCTACAGAAAAGCAGAAGTCGCACTATTTGTTTAAGAATTTTCCACCACTCCCTTAGTCATATAGTTGCTCCTTTGCAACTGGTCCCTAGGAGGGGGCGGGACTTCCAGGAAAGTGTGTCGTGGTTATTTTCTATGACTCACAGAACTGTGACCCTGCGGCTGGCTCCCCTGCTCCTGAAGGTCCAGAGCCTCTTCCTCCGGGTCCTTCTTCCGTGCCTCCGATCTGCTGGAGCTTGTTCTAACAACAGGTGGGGAATTTAGTCCTTGACTGTGATCCTTGGTGATTTCCACGGACTTGACAGTAGAGAGAATTTTGAGGGAGTTGGAGGGGCCATTGAACTATCTTCTAAGGATCTCAGGTCCCCTCTTGTAACTACTTTTCTCTTTACTTTTCTTCGTCTTTCCTTCTCAGCCAACTGATTTTGTATGTTTATGCTGTGAAAATATGGCTTTAAGCTTCCATTCCAGTGAATTGCAGCCTGTAAATCTTTCTATAAAGCAGTGTAAGAGCTTTGCACTGTCCCTTGTGTAAATGGGGCTGCACTAAAAATCTAGGACTCGATATTTGAAGATTAAATCACTCTGTTTCTGTGCGGGTTACACTGTGCACCGCTGATCTGGTTGGAGGGACTCAAGGCCTTCCACCTCCTCCCCCGAACCAGAGGGGAGGGCTGTGACCACACTGTGGTCTGTGCCACACTGCTCCTCTCCTTCCCACCTGCAGCTTAGTGGTTCTAACTTAGTGCCTCTGAGAACCTCAGGTGTGTCCACCTCAGATAGCTCACTGGCTCAGGGAGAAGCCTGCCAGGGACTCACGTTCAGGCTTTGATCTCCTGCTATCCGCAGTCTTTACCCTATCTGTAAAGACTTTCCAGTCCATCAGCTGTTTGCTCCTGTGTGAGTCTTTAAGTTTCTAGCTGATATTACTAGAGATTTTTCAATTATCCACCCTCAACCTGTTGTTCTTGAAATAATTTCCTGCACTTAGGATTTCCCTGGAAGCCTGTTTCCTCAGCAGTTTTCTGTCCCTTCAGCTGCCATGGTTATCTGGAGTGCTGTCAGAACACGAGGCATTTGCCACATTTAATCTTTGTACAGTTGCTATAAATGGCAGATGCACAATGTTGAGCCTGATTTCTTGGTATGGATTTATGAGAACAGAACTTGGTGTACAGGAAATACCACTGATATCATGGACACATAATTAGCATAAACTTTGCTTTGGGTTAAAGGCAAGTATTTTTTTGCTTGTCTTCTCTTTCTATTTTCATTGCTGTGGATTAAACCCCTGGCTTTATGCAGCCAAGATAGGTGCTTTACCATGAGCTACAGTCTCAGCCTTAAAATGTGTTTTAAATGTAGCTGTGCACACAGAGCCTAGAAGTAGTCCTGCCAAAAGCTTCAGAATCCCTCAGAGTGGGATTGTTCTAGGAGAAAAAGCTCTCTTTCTCAGAGGCCCCCCTTTTTTCCCAACCAGCAGATCATAGGAAGGACAGAGTTCTCAGGGACACGTGTGTCCTAGGCCTGTAAGTAAGCTGTGGGGGTCCTGTTTCTTCAGCACGGTCTGTGCTTTGTGCGATTTCATTCTAGCTCCTCAACGTGAAAACTTCCCTTACTAGTCCTAGATATTGAACTGCAGGTCATACCACAAAGAGAGTCAAGCTAGTTACCTGCTTAGTTCAGAGTTGTCCTGGTGCAGCTTACCTTGGGGCCCATCATTAGGATCAAACCCACCTGTAGACTCATTGGATAAAAGAATCGTGCAAATCCAAAGTAGACACATGGAAGTCATCTCTCTTTGTTACCATAGAATCTTGAGGTTCCCTGAAGTTATGACACCTATTCAATATTCTTAAGGAGTGAGGTATCAACACACTTTTGAAAAAGCAGTATTATTGTTGGAAACAGTCGTAGCATGTTTCAGAGATTTCCTGTTAGTGGATATTCGGTGAATCTTGCAGCTTGCTTATTTGGGGCTGGCTTTTAGGAGCTACCTTATCAGAATCATTGCCCCTTTTTCTTCAATTTTATTTTTCCTAACTCCAATACTAACTCTGCATGCCCTCTGATGCCAAACAGAAGAACATAGGTACTGGTGCTTCAATGGAAAACTCTCACATACCCCTCTGGGTGTACTGTGTATCTTTCCACAGAAATCCTTTATCATCATGGTACGTGGCTGTGGTCTGCTCACTCGCCAGAATCAACCAGGTGAGCCTGATGCTTGACTCCTGCTTGCCACTGTATCTTTGGTACCCAGCACCCAGTGCAGTTCCTGGCCTGCAGGGGAAACTCTACAAAAGCTTGCTGAATTCCTGAACCTGATCTCTCACCAGTGGCACTGAAGAATATCTCTGTGGCTGTGTCCATCCATGAGTTTGTGGCAGGTGTGTCTGCAACCTTACACTATGAGAATGAGGAAAATGTTGCCTTGGAAGCCTTCTTTGTGTTTCCCATGGATGAAGACTCTGCTGTTTATACCTTTGAGGCCTTGGTGGATGGGAAGAAAATCGTGGCAGAATTACAGGACAAGAATCAGGTACCAGAGATAGATACAGTATCTATGTTTTCCTTACTGCACACATTTTAAGATCTCTGCTAAATGAAACCTCACAAAAAATGCTATTTGTTGAGTGGTCTTTCTTTCACTCCTTTCTAATTGTTATTTTCCTTGTTGTTCAGTGGTGGTGGGGGGTCCATTGGAGTCATTCAGAAGATAGCTGTGATGTGACAAGGGCTGTCACAGCCCCTCTGTGATGGACAGTTTTCTGCAGTATTCATCCCTTCATTTGATGCTACCTTTCCTTCCTACTGGTATTTTCTGAAGGCTCATGCCAACTATGAGGATGCCATCTCTCAGGGCTTCCAAGCCTATCTACTAGAAGAGGACAAGTGCTCCAGAGATGTCTTCTGTTGCAATGTGGGGAACCTCCAGCCTGGGGCGAAGGTTGCACTCACCCTGAGGTATGTGCAGGAGCTGCCCCTGGAAGCCGATGGAGGCCTACGCTACGTGCTCCCAGCTATCCTGAATCCGAGGTATCATCTCTCTGGTGAGTATCTCTCTTACTAGGTTGGTGGTATAATTGGTGGTAAATTCTCTGAAGTCTACAGATGTGTTGAAAACTGTTGGCAAGGATAATTTTTGTAGGGCGGACTGAGGGCAGTTGCCTTGATCTGAAGACTCCTGTCATGCCCTTGGAGGACCTGCCCTACACACTTGCCATGGTCACCACCATCAGTTCTCAGCATGGAATCGAAAGGGTCCAGTCCAACTGCCCCTTGAGCCCCATGGAGTACCTTGAACATGATAAGACTTCTGCTCAGGTAATTAATAAGACAGTTCTGCTGTTTCCAGCGCTCCTTTTGTATGGGTCTTACTGTGGTCTCATCCCAACCTTCTCCGTCTATTCCTCGCTTTTTGCCATTAACCCTGAGGGAGGTGCACTCTTATTCCCAGTCAATGCCTGGAGTCTGTTCTCCCCCCTGCTTGTGGTCATGTTCACTTTGTTATTTCAGGTTGTTTTCTTTTTTAATTTTAAAAAGAAGAGAGAGAAGAAAAAAACACAAAGGCAAAAACAAAGCAATAAAAACAGTACAGAATCTCAAAACAAAGTTTGTAAAGACACGTGTAGCTCTCTATTCTGACCTCAGTCCCAGGTATCAACGAGTAATGTTTCTAAGGCAGCTCCTTATCTGATCCTTATATCAGGTTTCCTTGGCTGAAGGACACAAGTTTGATCGGGATGTGGAAATTTTGGTTTACTACAGTGCGGTGCACAGCCCCAGTGTTGCTGTGGAGATGGAGATGCCTGAAAGGAAGCCAGGTATTTTCTGTCTCCCTGTGTAGTCACTTGGGAGGAGACAATGCTGCCTTGGAATCATCTTCATCTTCCTTTGTCTTTCCCTCATTCAGTACCAGGTAGAAGATAAATGTGACATATTGAAAATGCCTACCCAGTAGCACTCAAAAATTAATGCCATGTTATTATGTGTTATAGAGAAAGTTAAGTAGATTCATAGATAATTGGGCAAAGGAAATGAACAGATAATTCATTAGAGAAAAGAGTCAATTATAAATATGTGATAATGATTGGTCTTTACAGAAAAGCAAATAAAATGCAATTTTGACTTTCTAATCTTTCAAGAAGTGACAGTTTAGTTTAGATATTCTCCAAAGCCTCATGTAGTAGTAGGTGGGGTGTTTTTGGGAGGTGGCTGGATCTAGAGTGTGTGATGTTAGAATTACACATATTACACTCGGTAATATGCTAGGTTCAAGGGCACTAATATTAAGGATGTGAGTGCTGCCTGCTAAGTAGCCTGGATAAAGCACGATGGGTGAGAAGAGCTATGGTCACCCTTTGTTGCTGTGCTCCCTTCTGCCCACCATGAACGGTTTTTCCTGCGATGCCTGTCTGCCAGGCCACCCTGCCTTAGAGCCAGCCAAGTATGGACTGAAAGCTCTACAAACTTCAAGCTAGGAAAACTTTTCCTCCTTTAAATTTGGGTGTCAGGTATTTAATTGCAAGAAAAATAGCTAAGACACAAGCTAAATTTTTTTCAAATCTGATAATGCCTTCAGATTTAGAAGGTGTGGCAGGTTTGGGATTCTCAGATTGCTTGAAGCAAAATAACTTGATGTCACACTTTACAACAAAATGGTTTTATAAGTCAAAACACATGCTCATTTCAGTAATTCCAGTTTTCAGAATATCCCCTAAGAAAATAAATCTAAATATAAGTAAAACTATGCATGGAGATCTGCTAATATCAAATATTAATAATCAAGATGCCTTAAGGGACTAAATTCAACATGGCATCGATAACTTGATGTGCTATTATGTAATTACTAAAGTAATATGACAAAGTAACTTGATAAAAAGTCCTCCAAGAATGGAAAGTGAAAGAACCTAATTCATACACATTTCCTCTATTAAAGTAACCAATGAATTAGATAAATAAATATATAGAAAGCATGTATCTAGCAATTATAGCTAGATAAAAACAAATTTTGCATCTTAATTCTCTTTATAATAAATAAAACTTTTATTGATTGATGTTTTTCATATCTATATGTAGTGTCATCTCTGGTTCTTTCTTGCTTATTGTAATACATATAAATAAGAAATTTTAACATTTTAATTATTTTAAGTGTAGGGATCAGTGGCCTTAAGTAACTCACACTGTGAAATAGTCAAACTTGTCCACCCCAAAAACCATTTCATCTTGCCTGGTTTATTAATTTGTATGACTAAGCTGAGCTTTTTAGAGGGTTTAATTTTTGTTTATTTATTTATTTTACTGTTAATATTTCTCTTTAATTTTTTTTTAGAAAATTATTTACTTATTTAGTATAGGGTCTGGCTAATGCAGCTTAGTCACAGTGATCCTTTTGTCTCAGCCTGCTTAGCACTAGGATTACAGGCATGTGCCACCGTACTCCAGTTTTGGTGGCCAGGTTGGCATGGGACTGGCAAGACAGGCTGTACTGGGGATCAAACCCAGGTCTTTGCACTTACGCTTAGACTACCGGGCTATCTGTCTGGAGTTTTTAATTTTTCTCAACTGGAAAATATTCCAGGATACATAGGCTGAGGTTTTCCTGTATCAGAGCTGGCATAGTCCGCATTAGTCTGCTGCTGGTGTGTGCTGCACTGGATGGAGGGACCATGACCATGACAGAAAGGACACCACCACTTCTAGAGCATTTCTACATATATACAGTGGAAGCATACTAATTCACAGTGAGATGCTGAGGTTAAGCTTTCCCTTGTGTACCTAGAGCTGCTGCGAAGACAGTTCCCTGACGTTGGTTTCCCTGGGCAAGGGATTGCAACCCTTTCAGAGCTGTCAATGATAAAAACAGCCTGCTGAGGCACCAGTGTTGTAGGTTTCACCACCACTATCCTAGGCCATCCCATTAGAAATTGTAGACAAATATTGAAATGTGAAAGATATAAGATATAGACAGTGAATTTTAGAGAAATATTTCTGAAATGAATACATAGCATGAGATTAATAATAAATTGCACATTGAAAATAAATAATTTACAAACTTAAGTGAATATAACAATAAAATTTGTCCAAAATAAAAATGAAGAAGAAAGAATTTACAGATCAGTCATATAATAGTTCACTCTGAGTCAAAAATCAAGAAACTGTATATTCATATAATTAGAATTCTCAAAGTAGAAAGAGTTAGGCAATAAATATTTAAAGATTTAAAATTTCTGAATTTAGTTGAACTTATAACACCACATTTTCAAGAAAAATGAAACTTTTGCACAACAAATTTGAATAAAATCATGCCAACATACAAAAAAATGAAATTATCTAAAACTTATTGTAAAGAAAAAAATCATTAAAGTATATACATAAAAATATTAGCTATGGAAGAACAAAATTAAATAGCATCTTATTCCACATTAGAAAGATAGAAAAAAAACTAAGTCTGTAAGAAACTAATTAAAGGACTGAAAGAAAAAACTTGTCCTCTTTGAATTTTACACTTAGTAAACATACCTTTGAAAACTAGAAGTAAAATATTTTCCAGTTATACAAACTTGAAATATTCTAATACCTCCAGACGTAGCATATAGGGAATAACAAAATCAATATTCAGAAGGCAAGAGAAGTTGCTGTATGGTCCTGGATAAAGAATAAAGAGTTCTTTATTTTTCATTTCTAAAAATTAAAAAAAAATAAAGGGAGTGCTGGGGAGATGGCTCAGTAGAATAAGCGCTTGCCTGGCAAGCGCAAGGGCCTGAGTTCAATCCCTGGTTTGGCAAAAAAAATTAAAAAAAAATCAAAACAATAGTTATGCAGGACTATGTAAAATATATTAGATGAACTCATTTAAAAGGTCATTAAAGATTTCTATGAAACAATATCAATCTTATGTCGGGTTATACAATATTTTTTTATGTATATATGTGCGAGTGTGTGTGTGTGTGTGTGTGTGTGTGTGTGTGTATAAAAGACAAGGAAGAAGTAATATAAAGTCAATGGAAAATGGAAATACACTTTTTAAAATTTCTAATACTAGAAAATATTATACCATGTCTTTTAAGTAGATTGTAAGTGAAAGATACAGTATAAATTTTAAAACAAAAATTAAGATTAAGCAATATTCAGAAAATTAAATATTAATTAATTAAAAATCAAATATTTCAAAGCAATTGAACTAAGAAAAAGTTTTCATGATAGTAAAGAATTACTAAGGATAAAACAAGATAAATACTGGAATGGCAAATAAATGACCAGCACTTCTTACAGTTTGGGGATAAGGTATCGCACAATGTTCTAGTATGTTGTAGACATGTATAGTATCCATGACGCTTACTGGTGGCCAGGTGTCACTTGTGGGACTGAGCTGCTGCTAGTTCCTTGATATCCACCCTGTAGACCCAGATAGAATCATGACCCACGGGGTGCAGGAGAAGTCTATTTGTAGAGTGTGCTGATGGAAATATTTTGCTGTTGTATGCAAAGAATAACTGAAAGACTACTTCGGTATACCTCTTATACTCCTATGTTGAATTGTTTTCCCTATTTGGTGGGTTCTTTCCATTCTCATTTATAGAGTTGTGATCATTTTGCTCCCTCTCTAGAACATCTTTTAGTTGTCTGTGTAGGCTTGGCTTTGTCATTATTAAATTAAGTTGTTCTTTGTCATGGAAGTATTTCACTTCCCCATTATACCTGAAAGAGAGTTTTCAGAGGGTATATTTGTCTGGGTTGGAATTTGTTTTTTTCCAAGAATTGTAGCACTTTGCTCCGTGCTCTTCTTGACTTGATGTTTTGTGAAGAGAAATCTGCCATTATTCTGATGGGGTTTCCTTTGAATGTGATCTGTTTCTTTTTTTTTTCTTTTTCTTTTTTGTTTTCTTTTATTTCTTTCTTTCTTTTTTTTTTTCCAGCCTTTAATATACTGTTCCTGTGCTGAATTTCTGGGATCTTTATTATATGTCTGGGTATGTTTTCAATTGACTTGATGTTATTTGGAGTTCTATATGCTTTGGTTTTCTGAGTTTCAGATTGTTTCCCCATATTTGGGAAGCTTTCTGTTATAACTTCCATCCACATTCTTTTTATATCATTTGTATTGACTCCTTCCTTCTCATTGATGCCTACTAGTCTCACATTGCTCATCTTTGCATCATCTTGCAGGTGTTGAATTATTTTTTCCTGCATCCTAGTTGTTTTTTAGAGATCTTTTCTTACTTTTGCACTAGCTGCAATGGTGTCTTTAAGGTCTGAAAGTCTATTTTCAGTTTCATTCAAATGGTTTTGCCAGCTTGTGATTGAGGTTTTAATTTCCTGTATATAACTTTGAAATTTGCTTCATGCATTCTGTTTCTTTCCTATATTGCTTATTTAAGGATTCCATCATTTTTATATTCTGCTTTATTTCTTTATCAGTGTCTTCTCTAGAAACACTTTGTACTTCTTTCATTATAGTTATTATTTCTTTTTTTTGCTTCAGAAATTATTTCAGATCTGATTTCCTCTATACCTTTCTGTAGTTGGTTCTTACTTCTGATGCTATCGTTTCAGAGATTTCAGGTGTGGGATTTCCAATTTCTTCTATGCTAGTGTCTTCTGCATTTGTTCTGGGTTGGCTTGGGGCCTGAGACTGCATTTTATTCCTTCTCTTTATCATTTTGTATAGCACTGTCTTCTGACCTTTGGTGTAGAGCTTAGGTAGAGTTATTACCTTAGCACCAGGTCCGGATCTATCAAGTTCAAACTGGTCCATGTGGGTGTGACTTAGGTCTGGCTGCTGTGTTCCACTTCTTCCTGCCGCAGCCCTTGGAGTTGAACCCTCTGTGCTACTCTGGCAAGATGTTCTGCTCCTGAATCAGCTGGGTGGTTCTTGCCTCTAGCCTCTTCCCATGGAGTTCTGCTGCAGGGTTCCATGCCTGGCCTTTGTTCTGGGTAGAATGAGTCCATTGCGGACCTGGCAGGCCCCAGGCAGTCTCACTCACATGCTGGGCCTGGGCTTTGGGTCCTTGAGTTCTTTATATATTCTTTTTTTTTTTTTAATGGCACTCAGCCTGCCTGAGGGTGGGGCTGGTATGGCATGTGGTGCCAGGGATTGAACCTAAACTTGCCTAAGCAGGTGCTTTAGACAGCTGAGCTATCTTGTTGTCCCCTTTATATATCCTTGATGTTAATTCTCTGAGGTATATCTGGTGAATTATTTTCCTATTCTGTAAATTTTTCCTTCACTCTGTTGGTTGTCTTTTTGTTTTTTTTTTCTGTGCAGATGCTTTTTAATTTGATATGATCCCGTTTGTTGAGTTTTGGTATTATGTCTTGTGCCATTGTGGTTCTGTAGAAAGACCTTGCCTTTGCCTATGTCTTCAAGAGTTGTACCTCTTTTATTTTTCAGCAAGTGAAATGTTTCTGTTCAAGATTTAGATTCTTGATTAATTTTGATTTTAGTTTACTACACATTGACATATATGAGTCTTGACATGATATTCTGCATGTGGATATCCGGTTGTCCCAGAAGCCTCTATTAAAGAGGATACCTTTTATCCAGTGTTTGATTTTTGGCTTCTTTGTCAAAGATTAAGTAGCTGTATGTGCAGCACAATTTGTAATAGCCAGACCTTGGTAAACAGTGTATATGTACATTAACAGATGAAGGATAAGGAAAATATAATATTCATGCACAAGAGAGTACTGTGTTGCCATTAATATAGACCTGAGGTATTTTTGATACATAAATGAATGCAACTTGAGAACATAATTTTAATTGAAGTAAGTTAGACATATAAGCTCAAATATTGTATGGCTTATTTTATATGTAAAACACAAAGTGAAAAATACAAGAGATAAATAGGTTGTATGGAGAAGTTAAAAAACTTCAAATTACATATTCTGTCATTTCAAATATATTTTAATGTATGTGCTAAATGTTTCACTTATTCTATGAGTTTATCTTAACAGAAAAATAAGTTTTGTGTTACATTTGGCTTTCTTTGTTTCTCTTTTGTAAGAATCTTTCTGGTTTATATCTTGTACTCTGAGTAACTACTTTGAAGATAATGATATACAGTATATTAGCTATTGTTTACTTATTCATTTATTTATTTTGCGGTACTGGGGATTGAATTCAGGACTGAGCTATCTCCCTGGCCCTTGTTATTCTTATTTTGTTATGATTTTGAAAGTTTTCTAACAAAATAAAAAAGTAAATAAGAAATCATTAGGAACATAGAAGAAGAAAAAAGTATGATTCCTAGAATTTTTAGAAGTCTTGAGTTCTTTTCATCTTACAAGCCCTTATTCTTTCTGTGTAGATAGTTTGATGGGAAATCCAGTGGTCATGGTGAGTTTCTATCCAGATATCCCAGAAGTTGAGGCGTCAATGATCTGCGGGGAATTTGTCTTCCTCATGGACCGCTCAGGAAGCATGCAGACCCCTTTGAGTAAGCAAGTCAGGTCTCAGCTGCGCATAGAGGCAGCCAAGGTAAAAATGAGCTTTCTCCTTTCTTGAGTCAAGTCGCTCACTGGAATGGGGTGTATCTGAATAGTTCTTAGAGGTTCCATGTGGAGCTGCAGGCCTGTGGTCCAGCTGAGTGACAGCTAGCATGAATACCATGCAGATAGCTTTAAAATAGAGGGGGATGAATGCTTGATGGCTACATACTGAAGAGTTAGATTGGTGGAGTCTGAGAGACATTCACTCTGTCTCCCTTTCCTTTCTTACCATCAGGAGACATTGATTTTGCTGTTGAAGAGTTTACCACTAGGCTGTTATTTCAACATCTATGGATTTGGATCTTCCTTTGAGGCATTCTTTCCGTAAGTCCAAGAAAAGGTCATAGAGAGTCTGTAAATATGCTCCCTAAGGCTGACCAGGTTGTTGAACAGGTTACTGAGTACTGATTTGAGACCTGGTGATTGCAGGTAGGATTATGATTTGATGGGGTGCCTTAAAAGGGCAATGTGGAGCTGCCTTCATCCTGTAACCAGGTATGTTTGTTTCTCTCAGGGAGAGTGTGAAGTACACTCAGGAAACAATGGAGGCGGCAGTGGCGAGAGTTAAGGTCCTTCAAGCAAACCTAGGTGGTACTGAAATCTTGGCACCACTCCAGAAAATTTTCAGGGGATCACCTATTCCCGGCCACCCCCTACAGGTAAGAATGGGATTATAGCCAGCAGCAGGGACAAAGAAAGTGGCAACTACTGAAGAATCTCTGCCCCTAAACTTCACTGTGGGTGTAAGTATGATCAAAGTCTGTTGTCATACAAGAAAGAAAAGATGAGAAATTTTCTTCCTTCTTAATTCCATGTGAGGGACAACAGAAGTGCTTTTGTAGAGGCCACAAAAGCCTCATAGGAATCTATTTAGGGAGGACCTGAAGATTCCCAGAATTCCAAGCTTCTCTGTGGGAGCCTGGTGAGGTGCCCTGGAACACCAGGGCTCCTGTTTGAAGAGACATCTGAGCATGCACAGTGAAACAGCAGGGTTTTCAAGGGCAAATTCTGGTGACGTAGCATGAACTTGACAGAGGCCTGATGAATGCCTTTCCCTGTCCAGCTTTTTGTCTTCACAGATGGAGAAGTTGCTGACACCTTTAGTGTAATTAAAGAAGTTAAATTCAACAGCACAAAACACAGGTATGACCAGAACATGATTCCTCCTGTGGTGACCAGAGCTTTGAAGTATCATATGAGGTCTAGTACCAGTGTTGACCTTGTACACAGGGAAGAAAAACAATGATGAAGTTTGGGCATACTTGCTGACAATTGACTTTTTTCTACAGTAGTTAAAAGTACTTTTCTAAATAATATCAATAATACAGCAAGCTCACTGTTCTTTAAGTGAGTTTTTTATTGTTAAGTAAATTTGTAATAACCATAGTCAACAAAAGAAACCATAGGGGGCCGGGGGAGATGGCTCAGTGGAATAAGTGCTTCCCTGCCAACACAAGGGAAGTTCAATCCCTGGTACT